ATGAAGCTTTTGTAGTTGCCCAAAAAAACACCATCTGCAAATGGGGATCATTTTGCTTTTTTTTTGCTAGATGATATTGCTAATATCGGCAGATAATGATCAACCATATTTAGAAAAAGGGTAATGGAAGAACTTAAATGAACAAAAGCAGTATATTTGGTAAAAATTAGTTTTCCGATGTGGAAAGACATGTTACGAAGATTATTCTCGTTCAATGTTCGAATGAAAACTGTCTGTACCATGCGCTTTTCAATGTCAAATCCGGCGAATTCCTTTTAATGTTAGCCCATTATTATATACTTTGTTAGTTGTTTTATTAAATATGACTGAAAATTAATAATTCAGATTAATTAAGATTGAATAACCTTCATGAACAACTGTAATCACCATACTGATTTATGGAGTGTTCACACAATTCGGTAAAGTGTTTTAAGAAGATTTGTTTGTCTGTGCTACATTTTCGCCATGGTCATGCTGTTATCTGTTTTTCTTCGACTATGGTTTGAGACTGCCTCCTTATTATCTTATCCCTTCTTTCAATCAAAGAAAAGAAAAACATAAATTTCAAAGCTGAGCGAAAAAAAAAACAGAACTTTAAACTCAGATATTGATGCAAAAACAAAATTAGTAAAACAACATAAATTACCGAACTCCAAGTGAAAATTCAAAACGAAAAGTCTCTTATCAAATGAAAAATCCAAAAGCTGAAACACAACAAACGATTGGACAACAGTTGTCATAGAGCTCGTTGTTCTCTCTCCATCTCTATCTATCTTTATATGATATAGCGGAAAGGTATGACTCATCTTGTCCCTACGTCCTTTTTTCTTTTGTTCTTTCCATTCATATATCCATATGTTAGTCTCAAAATTGTAATGAGCAATATTCCTCCGACATTGCTTGGTAGAATTATGGAAGTTCAAAGTGCACATATGGAGGTTATACTTGAATGGATTTGTTTCATAATAGACATATTCAAATAGCGCTAAAACAGTAATCGCTTTAAATTTACCAGAACATACCTGCTTTCAAGCTATCTCATTAAGTTAACCCTAATCTTATTAAAATGGATTTCGTTATTCTCATGCGATATATGAGCAGGCGAGTCGTGATTGATCTGAATTTAAGTCAGATTGTTTTAACCCATGTTTTTAACACTTATACATAACATTTTGTACGGTTTATTTTTTCATGTCAACTTATATCACTTATTATTGTTGTGAGATCTTCGCACCATTAGAAACTTGAACCAAAAATATGAAAATAAAGTGAAAAAATCGCCAAAAGTCTCTGTCAGATCAACAACAGAGGGCTCACAGTAAATATCCACGTACATAATTTAAGATCAGATGACATAAAACCAATTAAAAAACTGGATAAATTCAACCACATTTTTTTTCATTTCTCACAATTGTATAGATATTTTAGAATAAAATAACTTCATTTTAACCATATGTATTCTTAATATACATGTACTATCTCTTATATACCAATGTTCAACCAATGCTTAATAGATGATCTACTAAAATAGTGCTCTCTTTTTTAAATGCCTAAAATGAAAATATTATGTGACACATCTACATTGAAATTTAAATGCAAAATCATGGCCAATTAAATTTGAAATAAAAGTGGTTCAAATGCATTTATATTTCTGTTTCTATTAAGAAACTTTACTTGTAACATTTAGCTGAAGTAAACACCAATATTAAAACTTCTTTGTTTTGTAAGAGGTTGCCTACTTTTACAAAAGGTGATCAATGCTGTTTGGTAGATTTGTGTTGTGACACCTACACAGTAACTTCGTCCTTGATACTAATAGCTATAACTAATGTATTGTTGATGGGGATTGCTAGTTTTCTGACGAAGGTCGGTGGTTCCTTGGGCATTCCATGGGCCTTAAACCATTTAAAACTGATCGCCGCAAAATACTTTAGTAGCCAAAAGTGCTAAACCGAAAATTGCGTCAAACACCAACAATCAATCAATCATCATTATATTAAGATGTATTTATATGTAAACTATTCAGGGAGTAAAATTGATTAATGGAAATGTATGTATTGTTATTGCGAATAGCTAGATTTCCCAATTCAAAAATTAATGTAAGTAAATATAATTGCGAGAGTCTCAATTTATTTACAGGAAATTACGTAGTTTGACAGGGTTAAATATCTTGGCCAGGCATGAAGAACATTTCAGTGGATAGCTTATAATAGTTTTCACTTCCTCAGTCAAGCAAGATGCAGTATAAGCAACCCCAAGAAAACATACAAATATTGAAATATTGAAATATCAAAGTTTCGCTCCCAAACTTTTCCCTAAATGCATGAATTTCCTGTGTTTTCTATCCTTTAACATCTTTGCACTTTTAAAATTTGTGTGTTTTCAACATAATATCGACTACATCCAATTGTTTTAACAAAGAAAAGCTGAAAAAGCTATCTTTTTGCAGATGGCGGTATTTTGGGCAACTGCATGGTTGTTATAATTGGCTGTTTAATTAAGAAGAAGAGTAATTGCAGTAATTTAATGATGTCAAAAACATCCTTAGCTCTAAATAAAATATGTTATATGGTTTTATGGTGAATAACAGTTGAATCACAGACATAAAATTTGATTTTCATGCATTTTTGTCATTTTCAACGGAATTTCTGAAAAACAGCGCTATTTATTAAAAATCCGACACTAATATTTCAAAGTGCTTTTGATAAGTTACTATTAAAATCTGTTCTAAGAGATTTCCATATGTACATACAGAATATCGTTATTCAGAAGACAGAATATGCAAAAATGCTGACTTCTTGTAAAATTAGAGGTTGTCCGCCCTTGACCTTTTGTTGTGATTTGACGGAAACTGCACCATACGAATTTTTGACGACCGGGCAAAAGAGGTAGTACAGATGATGTGCTTCCGAACGGTATATGATTTAGCCGTATGTTAGGTGGGTGCATTAAAAATAAAATTTTATGATTAATGTCACTCGTCTATATTGTCACCTGTGTTAAATCCGATGCGTTGTTTTCTTCACGTATTAGCTCTTCAAAAGGTTTCGTAGGAGGCCTTTTGCAAGGCAAAATTTCTTCCACTCTTCAAGGTACCCTCTTTTTCCAATGGCAGTCTAACTATCTCGATAAGCACAATTTGCATATCATACTTATTGGATTTGTTTTTGTTTACGTTCTTATTATTTATGAATAATTTGCAATTGGACGTTAAGCAAGCATAATTCAACTAACCATACAAAAATGAGAGAGGTGAAGTTCAAGTCCGAATCATACGCCCTTTGAATATCAGCATCGTTCACAAAGAATATTTTATAATCAAGACGAACAATTTTTTTCCTGTTTACATTAAGGTCGCAAAGAAAGAACGTTCTGAATATCTCCCATATCAAATTATCAACACAACTATCATGTTTCTATTTGGCAGACTGTATATAGTTATTTAAAAAGATTTAGATCACCATGCACCAAATGATACTCTGAGTTATTTCCATCATATAGCATCCGTCACTCCGAAAACTTTTTTGTGCGTTACCAACTTCACCCCACACGGATTTGTAATTTTCGTTCCTTGGTTGCCATTTAAATGAAAGCTACTGAACAAAGGAGTCATATGGTCATTATTATGTCATCTCTTCGACAGGTTTGTGGACCACATCATTGATAAATTATGTGTCCAAGATGGCCATGGTTCATTTGTCGCAGTTAAGTAAAGACCTTCTTTTCTAGTTGTTTCCTCTTTTCTTTTCTTTATTTGTTGTTGCTAGTTTTGAGTTATTGAATATGTACCACTACTGGAGCAGAAGCTGCTCACACTTCCGAAGAACACGTGCTCATTGGGTTTTGAGTAGAGTCAGGTTCCAACTTTAGTTTTCTGCAAAGTAATATTTTGACTCTTCTCTTTTCGTCTTTTATCTTTAGATCATGGTTTTGTGTGTCTTTCGAATTATATTTTTTTTTTACTTACCTTGTTATATTTTTCTCACACTAGCAAGAAGGAACCTTTGTGAGCATCATTATCAATTTCGTAAATCAAAATTGAAATAGAAAAAAAATGTATGGCAAACATTATTATTCATTTAATTTTGATCGAAAGTATCATACAGAGATAATTGGTTAATAACAGTATTTTTTCATCAGAATATTGTTAATCAACTTAGTGGGAATCCTGTTGACAAGAAAACATCTTTTTTCATAATTGGCCTCTTCAATATTTAGCACGTTCTCCATTCGGAAACTATTAATTTCAAGTTCGCTAGAACATAAACATAGACATGTAGTTCAGACTTTTTTGTGAGTAAATTGGTCCAGTTTAATCAATGAAATCCAGGAAAATAAGTTTAATCCTATAAGATGTTTTCTACAATAGGCAAACATTAAATCATTACAGATACCAGGTTTATAATGTTGTACGTCAGACGTGTGTTTCGTCTACAAAACACTCACCAGTGACGATGGAATAAAACGTTAAAAGGCGAAATTAAATACGTAGTTGAACAGCATTAATGACTCAAAATTTCGAAAAGTATTACCAAATATAGCTAAGGTAATCTATATCTGAGCTAAAAATTCTTAGTACTTCGATCAATTCAAAGTCTTGTAAACAATCAAACGACCATACAGAATGTGCAGCTCTAAGTCGCTCTTAGTCAAAGGAGTTTATGAAATTATACACTTCTTTTGATAGCAGCTATCAACTATTCTTTATTTCCCAACTGGCTTTCACAAAAATAAGCCAATATTCTGTAATCTGTAATTATAAAATAAATTCACAGTTCTATCATATTTAAAATTGAATTTTTACATATATGCATACGAAGAAAATAGGAACAAACTATTTGGTTCAATAAGAGTGCCCAAACAACACAATATACGTAGAAAATGAACCTCCAGAGGTCGAGATATACTTCACAAAATAACCAACCGTTTATTTCATGAAGTAGTTGACTCATTGAATGTATTTTTATGTCGTTTTTCTTACTTCACAAACCTTATTTCAGGATATGGAAACAATACGACACTCTCTTGTTTTGACTGTGAAGAAATATTTGAAGAAAGATGGGATCCGTATACTGATTGTCAAGTGTATCCCCACAATACACCATTGAGACCTTGCTTGGACATTGAAATGTATTGTATGGTAAGTTATAATTTGAGCATAAATAAAGAAATATTTCTTGTATCTATAACTATTCGTTGAATTCAAAAGACATGTGCAGCTACATATCATTTAATTGTTCTTGGTTTTATTTGGATTGATCTAAGCTTAAATAAATATAAAAGGGTGCACTGTTCAGCAAATATTAATACTGACAAGAAGATAATCAATGCATTAAGTAAACACATATTAAAAAGCAAAAACATATATCATAACAATACGAAGCAGACAAAAGTAAGTCACGGATTCTATTACCACAAATTTACTTAAAACCATTACTACATTCTCTCAAGTTTGGCTGTATCTGTAGAAACATTATTACTAACGGGTTATCACAATCTAATGTGTACGGTGATATTGTTTATAAAACCTGTTAATTTAGACACGGTCCATGTAAAAGTAGTGATCCTATGGATAAACTTATTCTTGAAGATTATCAATTTTAAACTGTAATACGATCTTTGAACATTGTCTTCATCGGTACAAACATGGTTTGTTTAATAATTCATTAAAAAATGTATTGCTATCAAGTTATTAACACTAATGGTCCAACATCCTGTGGCAGTGCAGAAAGTCATGTTTTTTTTCTCGAACTGCTTATAACATATTTATACTAAATCCGTTGGATGTGTACTGATTCATATTTATGTCTCGGAAAACATGGTTTATTTATTTGTTGAATTGGCTTTGAAATAGCTTTCTGTAACTGCAACCACTCTAAGATCGGTACTTTATGCCTTTTGTCTTTTTGTTTTTTTTTTTTTTTTTTATCATTCATGTCGATCTGAAATTAAGCCCTTTCAAACTGATTTTTACAGGTTGTTCTTATGTTGCACTGTTACATCACTGTCTAAGGTTGGGGGAAGGTTTGAACACTCATAAGTTCAACCCTGCCACATTCTTTTCGTGAAGAATTATCTGATTTTTTATACAAAAAGGGAATAACACTAGATGAATTAGAATTTTAGAAAGACTTTGCCATTTTATATTAATTTCTCCGGCCTATTTCCTTTCATGAAAATGTACAGGTCATTGGTGACTTTTAAGAGTAGTACACATGTTAATGCTAAGGTCGTCGTGACCCTGAAATAAGGTTTATACTCAAAAGCTTTTGACAAACTTCAAGATGGAGAATAGCAATAGAAGCATTGTTAATTTGATCTACTGGTTAGTTCCAAGAATTGTAAGATATTGATTATAATACATCGTATTTAATACCAAAGAGCGAGTTTAAAAGAGCAAAAAAGCAAACGATCAAACTGTGTTTATACAATTAACGGATCTATGCTTACCACAACCGCTAAACTGGTCAAAATCAAAAATCAAATCAAATCAATAATGCATACATCTGCTTCCGGTTATCTATTGATATTTTTCTAAGTTACTTATTTTCTTATTTTATCTTGGTGTTGAAGTATTTGCATAGTTTCGTAGTGTATTAAATGAAGTATCTATCTACTATTGAAATCGAAAATATCAGACAATAAAAGTGAGCTGTTGTAAAGTATTCTAAATTGAGAAAACTCCACAGAGATGTGACGTCCGTTCCGTTCGATTTTTTGTGATATCTCGACCTGCTCAACCAGTATTTTGGCAGTAAAATCTAGTATTTCATATGTTTACAATAGGCCTACCCATGTCATACTTTCAACCTAAAACGTTCGATTATATAGTATTACTCGTGTGCGATCGTTCATTGGACTAAAATATTTCAGGTTTCATTATGATAATTTAATGTACCACTAGTAGTTGACAAATTTTGTTTAGTATATACAGTCATTGATCATGTAAATTTAATGCAACTTCAGTTGACACATTCAAGTTTCAGGTGTCTGGTTAACAAATAATTGTTTGAACATTTTGATATGTTCCTGATTGCAGCGAACATATAATACAATTAAAAAGTCACTGTTGCCTTTTCAGAGTTAAAGTTCAGAATGATGCTGTCGATATAATAAGATTTTCACTTTTAATGATAGGCAATTAATTGTTGACTCGTCCTGAATATGCATGAAATATTTCTCATTTGATGTTAAGCAAATAACAGACATAAAGTTGGCTTGTATAGTAAATAAATACAGTTAATGATATTGCCTCCTCATTGTAAGTGCATTTAAAAAATATATTGACTCATCAGATGCGCTCGAATAAAAACAATTGGAATGCAAAACCAATAAGGATGTTGAACAGAATTAAAACCAAAACTTAGAAAAGGTTGTGCCAAATCGGGCTAAGGCAATCTATGCTTGGGGTAAAAAAAAATGGATTTGTTCAAGGTCTTAAACGTTTTAGGAACACTAAATTTACGCAACATCAACAACGGCATCGCCATAAACTGATAATTATCTTTTTTTTATGTGTAAGTAAATTAAAAGACGTATTAGAATCACAACAGTGGCCATGAATTGTAGAAAAACTACTCTATGAATTCCGTGCGTCCGAATCGCTTTTTTAGAATTACCTTTATCAAAAACGTTCAAACCTAAACATTTGAAAGCTAGGGATGTAAATATGTAGAAAGGTTAGGAGGTATATGACCGAACCTAGGATTTTAAAAGAATAGCCAAATTGATATATATTGAAAAAGATTGTATATTGTAATATAAAGCTTGCAGAAAAATTTCTATTTTAGGTAGAAAAAGTGACCATTTATGGAATGACGACGAGCATTAAACGAAGATGTACTTCCGAATGTTACTATGGCTGCAGAGCACATAACTTTGGTCTCACTACAATGAAATGCACGTCGTGTTGCCAGTTTGCAGGATGTAATATAGATGGATCAGCTTCGATATCTTTCATGCTAGGAACATATACGTGTGTTTTGACTTTCTGTTTTCTAGTGACGTTATTGACAAAACAGTAACCAACCATTTGTTCTACCTAATCATTTTTTTTTAAATTTTGCCAAATCTTTTTTCCGATCAATATGATGACATCAGTGCCTTTAATTATATTTGACTGACAATTAAAATCATTTATAAAGAATAAGTAAGGTACATGCAGACCAAGATTGCATGCACTTAGTGAAAAACAAGTTTGATCTGAGCGTCACTGATGAGTCTTATGTAGACGAAACGCGCGTCTGGCGTATTAAATTATAAGCCAGCGGCTCTTTTCACAAAAGATCTTAAGAGTAAAAATACTCGTAAGTCATACACATTTCAGTATAACTTACGATCAATTCTAATCGTAAGATTTTTTGTGAAAAGAGTTGCTGGTACCTTTGATAACTATTGACAAAATTCACAGGATTCAGATGTATGGACTTACGACGGTATATAAATTAACAAGTCGGAAGAATCACAGCGATTAAGCGATGATCTCAGCCGACATCAACAGTTTTATCTGTTGGGCCTTACATAGTGACTATAAGAGGAAGGAACAATGACATATCCCAACACATTACCTTAATTCATCGAACATTGTATCACCTTATGAAATATAAGCTGTTGCCAAAACAAAGTAAAACATGTTTATTTATCAAGCATTTCATTAGTAGACTATGAATCCTTTCAATCTGACTTTGTTTCGAGTTGTAGCATTCACGTTTATATTCAAAAGCGGACACACATTTTGCTAAAACCTTGTAATATCTTGTTTTCGTTCAATACAAAACAGTTTTCAAAACTACAGTTGACAGCCAAAATAAAAACACACTAGTCGGGATTTTCTAATCTCATGAGTGCTGCTATACATTTTAAACACTACATTGTAAATGCTTGTCGTCTTAAACAAATATATATGATATCAACTGATTCATGATTAGTCAGTTGTTGTTATATCTAGTGTTTACTTCTTCAATCGCAGTTTAAAAAAAAGAAGTATGTACCAGGCCTGATAACAATTCTTAACATCTGATTTAGAATTCAGTAGTTTCCAAATACAAAAGTATTTGATACAGCTTGATTTTTTTCTACAATTTCGTCCGTCAATACATCAGTAAATGACAAAAGGTAATAGTGAAATATTTCCCAGGCAATATTGATATGAAATTTCTAAAAATTGATTATTTTGTAGTTTTATATATTGGTTAATTTCTTTTTCCTGTTTATGATAATTTTGCTATAAAGATATAGAAAGTCTTGATTTTCCGAAAGATAAAGTTATTTGTGCTTTTTTTATTTTGAGTTGTTTTCAAGTATTGTTTTGCAGTTTATAGTTTGTAATAGAGAGACGAAAGATACCAAAGGTATATTCAAACTTATAAGTCGAAAACAAACTGACAATGACATGGCAGAAAAACGACCAAAAGACAAAAACAGTAAACAAAAAAAACATAGAAAACTGAAGACTGAGCAAAACGAACCCCCCCCCCCCCCCCCCAAAAAAAAAACGGGGTGATCTCAGGTGCTCCGGAAGGGTAAGCAGATCCTGCTTCACATGTGGCACCCGTCGTGTTGCTCATGTAAGTACAAACCCGATGATAAATATAATTCGGTAGGTAACATTCGAGAAAAAGAGGACGGGATTGCGGTTGCGTCAATTGGAATTGTTAGTTGCAGCATATGGTTTACGGAATCCATCATGATTTGGTTGAACATAGTTGAATACGTAGGTCCATGATGACCACTTATATCTTCCTTTTGTGGGAACCAAATTCACGATTGTGAAATCACCGAATGCGACTTATCACTGAGTTTTTACTTGCTATGACCATTACGATGAGTACCACTAGTGGAGCAAGAACTGCTATCCTTCTGTAGAACTTGGTAATAACCTTGCGGATTTGAATTGTCTCGTGCTTAGTTGCCTTTGCATTGTTTTGTGGACTGTTGTTTGCATTTTGGCAACGGTGTTATCTGTTTTTCTTCGAATTATGGTTTTAACTGCCCCTTGGGATCTTTTTCTTTTATGTATTTTAACTATAACAAATAGCAAAATACAATTTTGTCCAATTAAAAGTAGAATCCTATATTTTGGTGTTATGTCCACTTATTTTGAAATTCGAATATGTACAGATATTCCGCTGAATTTTATTTCCACTTCAAAAAAAAAAATTTGTTTAGAAATGCTTGGTATTTTTACCATTGGATTGCTGTCTAGATGACTTTCAAATTTGTTTTATGGGTAATTGGAGCCCGTACATCTCTCTATATTTGATTCATTAACAGTAAATTGTAGTTATTATTGATAATTGTATGGTTTTATATATGACAGACTCTCAACAAAAAAACGCTTTTATTATAAATATGCATACATCCAGAAGATGGACTTAAAATATGTAGAATATATGTCGAGGTATATCAGAAAAATCATGGAACATTGTTAGACGAACTTTGTGAAGTCATGCATAGTGTTATTAACAAAAAGTCCATTAATTTCTTTTTCTAAATTCCTTGGATTAAACAAGCAAATCTGTAAAAAAAAAGTAGTGATTTTGTAAAATGCCTTGACAAAATCAGGGATGTTATGATTCCTCAATGAATTCGAGATTAAACAAACTCCTGACATTTCAGGGATTTTACAAATTCACTGAAACGTATATACCATATATCAACAAATCATATACAGTGGTCAGATTTTAAAGAACAAGATATGAGTAAATATATAAAGTGGTAAGATATAGAGAACAAGATATGAGTAACAAATCAGTATCTAAGAAATGAATGATAACCGGGATTACTGAAAATTTGATAAAATAAATATATTTTAAAAAACAATTACTAGTATTGTATGGCACTTCTGCTGCATTAACAAATCAATCATCCAGATTACACAATTCGCCTATATATCTTTTTAATTAGTTACTGAGTAATCAGGGAATTAAGCAGAGTAAATAATTCTAACAATGTTCGTTTTAAAATATTTTAGCATCATTTATATACAATATATAATCTTCACCTATTTGTGAATCAACTGTCTTTTTTTTATTTAACTTAGTTTGATGAATAAACACACTTCTGGAAGTATTGATTTCAGGTCACTTACGAGTCTTTAGAATTCCAAACTTAAGTATATTTGGACGTCTTAAAATACTTTTAGGGCAAATGAATTTCGTATTGTTTGCCTTTAAATATACATTTTGTTCATTTTCAGTCAAGTTTCACAATATATATGGATTACACTATCACATTATTTACTCGCTATTTTGTTAAAATATATATACATAATGTTATTAACACATGAAGTCAATGAATGAGTATTTTAAAAATATTAGTATAACCGTGAGGTCATGTCGTGAAGCAAGATATCAAACTATATTTGTATAATGCAGGTGTGCTTAGTTTATAACATTCATAACTACAGCAAGTTTGGTCTTTAAACGAACTGGTGACCTTTTGTATATCTTCTTATCAACTTAGACTTTCCTTTCTTTTGCACAATTGTTTGTTCAAATTCCTCTATTTGCTCGTCTGAGAATGTATTTTTCCAGTCACCTACAATTCCTAGAAAGAGAAGATAAACAATAGGTTTTTATGTTGAATCTTCATAACTTGTCTTTCTTGTGTGCAGTTGTAACATAAAATTTCATTATGAAATAGTGTCCTTGTCCATGAAATTTTGTCACCTCCTTCTGGAAATATTTCACTATGAAATTCTGTCCATAAAATTGAGAATTGAAATGGGGAATGTGACAAAGAGACAACATCCCAACCAAAGAGCAGAAAACAGCCGAAGGCCTCCAATGGGTCTTCAACACAGCGAGAAAATCCCGCACCAAATACTTTCCATGAAAATATTTCTTAATCAAACTATTACAAAATGAAAAATAGTAACACAAGCATGCAGCATGCACATTTTTAGATTTATAACTGAAATTATTTTGTAAAGTAAGTATTTTATATATAGCAAACTAATATTTATTTTAACATAAGCTAGTTTCAAATTTGCATAGATACTTTATAAATAGTTCATTATAGATTAAAGAATTGTCTAACGTATGTTCCATTGTACTACATTATACTGTATAAATATAAGTAATGTACTGACAATCACTTATTTATGTTCAAAATTGAATGTACTAATAGTATTCGTAAATATAGGTACAGTTATGACAGTAGTACAATGTAACTGGAATTTTAATTTGTGTTTATTTGTTATTATCAGTCAAATAAAACACTTTAATGATATCATTATCCAACATGATATCTGTTGATAACCTCCCCTTCATGAGACAAAATTTCATGACAATCTGTCTATGAAATATTGTCTCAATACACACAAAATATAACCTCCCTTTAACAGGCCATTTAATAGTATTCATCTGTGAAATATTGTCTATATACAGACAAATTTCACTTTGGAAATTTGTCCTACTCTGGACATTTTTTCATAGATGATGACAACATTTCATGATACATAGTCATGAAATATTGTCTTGGAGGACAATATTTTTATAGGACAATATTTTGCTTTACACAGTATCATGTTTAGCCTTTTTAGCTTGGGTTCAGGTCAAAGGTATTGATTCCATGTTAACCCAACCTGAAGTTTGGTCAATAGTTATGAACAACTTTATAATTCTGTAGTTTACTCAAATTTGCCATGATAAGCTTCAAAGATATTTAAAAATTATGTTTGAAATACAGAATAATAATTAATCCAAAGTGTTTAAAACATATATAATATATAGTGAAAATATCAACTTCTTTACACAATATTAGAACGATATGTTTCGTGAGCTCTAATCATCCGCTAAAAGACTCGTGTTGTGACAAGGGGACAGTTATACTTTACGTTAGCTGATGTTTATAGAAATATAACCCCAACTTTCAAATGTGATATTTCGAACGGTGAAAATCGACCTTACAATACAAAAGTTGAAAATAACATAAAGTTTTTTATTATCATTATCCAAACGATGATAACATTGTACGACTTTTCATTTTATTTTATTCTGGTATCACTAGTATTGATATTGTAACGGAACTTGCACAAAATTTACTTTGAATTACCTTTTCTGAAGTAAGGATCTGTTCCATCTTTACTGATCGCTGTAAGTTTATGGCCCACGGATTTTAGTTTTTCTGTCTTGAAATTGTCAAACTGGGTATTCTTAACAATACCGTGGATTGTATCATCCGTTCTAGATAAGTCCAGAAATTCTGATATTTTCTTTACTTCTTTAAAGCAGTCCTTAAATATAAAAAAACTAAAAGTACAATTGTCAATCTTGGGTTTCAAAAAAGTGAAAGTATACAATATGTTTCTATGAAGAAATCGATTTGTTTCCAAGTAAAACTATGCAGAAAAACGTAATTAGCATATTTAAGTGTGTCTGAGCTGCAATTACCAACTTGGTATTTAAAGTATTAATTCTATTATCTTTAAATATTTATTCAAAATAGACATATATCAGATTTATACACTATTTACAGCATTTTCTGTTTACTTACATGATGAAGATCTTCATAAGATACAAACAAAACAGGATGTTCCTGGTCCAGTTGCAGTTCTTCCCAACTTTTGACGTGTTCGTACCAAGATCCATACCCAACTGTAAAAAACTAGGCGATTTTAAAACGTTTAAAAAAAACACATAACTTTTTATATTTTCACTCAGTATCTTTCGCGGAAGCAGTGATCTTGGGTGCCTGGAAAATGCATTCTACGTTTTTGTGTTTAAATCCTTTTGTCGCCAATGAATGGAAATGGCTCAAAAAAAAGATAATCATTCATATCTTTTACGTTATATATACAATATAATTCTGATAAAGAAGGTTTAATCGGCGGATTTTTTGTCTGAAGAAAGACAACTCTGGTTTTTCTTACTCATAAGCTATATCCTTTCGTTACTTCTGGTCCGAGGACACAGGTAATATAGTCCTTCGTGTGGACAGTGTATAACTTGCAATTATGTTTAAAAAAATGATGAATATTTGAGTAAAGCAGTGATTTGGTCCAGTTAAAAAGGGTAAAAAATTAGTATGTCTGAAGCTGTCAAACTAAATATAGACTCCCTTCACATAGAATTGTCCATATTTTGAGTTAGAGCTGGTAGACTGTTCTTTAATTTTGATATAACTGTCCAAAAAGTAGTATTACGCACTGTAAAAATCTTTTTGAGATAGAGCAGGTGGGATTTTTTTTAATTTGAATTTATTGTCTAAAAGAAATGCACTACAAAATAACTGTGTTTCTCGGGCCTAAGATTCTGAAGGAAAGTATTTAGTCTTGTGTCAATTCATTAAGTACATAGTAATGTCGCCTGTGTGTTTTTATCTTGTAGTCTGTTAGATCATGTGCGTGAAAAGAAACAAAGTTTTATCGGAAAATGAAAAAGATATGGACAAATAACATTCACATGGACTTAACATATTACTAAACATACAAAATTGCACAAGGAGTAAGATTTAAAATCCTTAAAGAAGAAAAAAAAAAGAATGAGAAAGGTGTGTTATGGAAGTATTTGTTGGACGGTAGTGGTAATGAACAAATGTGTTTTCAGTAGTTATCAAGAAAAAAATCAAGGTTTCAAAAAACAGAACGATGATATGAAAGCAAGTGAAAGAACTTACGTGTTCCAGTTTGAAACAGTTTTAGAAAGTTGTCCCATGATCCTTTGTAACTTGACCAGCTGTCATGTAACTTTAACATGAAATGATACATTGATACAGCTACATCTCTTGGATTCCTGATTCCATAAATTATCTTGTTTTTCTTCCGAATAATTGATTTAGGGAGGGAGTGGGGTGTCATGTGAGACTGTAGAACTCTAGGAGATTGTAATTCGTCCAGTTTTTCTGTCCCATTAAGTTCCAAGTTGGATGTATCAAAAACGCGGTCTAAAACTTCTGACTGGTTACTAATAAGTAGTGACACAATATCCCAAAGCCATAATGTACCTATAAGACATTAAAAAGTAGAAAATTAGAATACCCATTTTTATTTATACATATACAACATATTTTACATGTAACCACTCATTAACTATGATTTCCTTCCGTGTTTTTTTATGCACTACTATACCTAACCCAAAAAATTGGTTTCAAGCAAGTCTTCATATAATCTACTTTTCTTATTCAGACTGCCAATCTCATACTGCATCTTTTGATAAGAATTATTTTAAGGGATTTCCTATAGCATAAAATTCTATTTAAACATACTTCGAAATCTGCAAACAAAACTATATTGACGTAACCTTTCTACTACTGGAGCAATGTCATGACGATCTTTAATCATACTGTAACCAGTGATTTTGATTTGGTGATGGATCTATAGTATTAAAAAAGTAGAGTCAATCACGGATTGCTGGTGGAAAAAAGTCACATCTCACGATCATGAAAAGACAAAAAGACAAATAGTCTAAGGTCACAATAAAACACTTCACAAAACAATAAAGAAACACACATCCAACCAAAACGTGTTGAACGCAGGTGGTCCGGAAGGGTTCGGTGTTTCTGTTCCCTAGCGGTACCAATTACATTGCGCAGGTAACAATTAGATAAGTTTCTGTCACTAAGAAGGTATGTATGATGGTATGATACTAAAACATTTAACGAGAGGGATTGTACTTAATTTTCATATGATGACGACATAATCTTTCAATCAGTTTAATTGATTACAATATTGATTAAAGCTTCTTGGATCTCCTTTTTCCTGAATTTCGTCAGATTTTGACTTTTATGTTTCCCAAACTAAACATCGAATTTACGATATCAATAACTGGTATAGGCACAATTTATCAGCAACTCCCCCATAACTGGTAAATGGTTTTAAGTGAACTTTTCAATTACTTTTTATTACGTGAACTTGTACTTATTTGTTATCAGAACGAGTCCAGGTTTTCAATTTAGTCCTAGCGACACATCATGTTTGAATTACTAGAAAGTAATTTATTAAATAATGACGATTGCAGCATTTTTTTGTTTAATGCGAATCTGTTTTTAAAGAGAGGCGAAAGATACCAAAGGAATATTCGAACTCATCAGTCGAATACAAACTGACAATGCCATGGCAAAAATTAAAAAAGATCATTAGATAAATAACAGTATACAAAATACAACATAGAAAACTAAAGGCTAAGCAACACCAAAAACATGGAGTGATCTCAGGTACTTGTACTATAGAACGGTAAGCAGATCCTTCTATACATGTGGCACCCGTCGTGTTTCTCATGTAAATACAAACCCACCAGTGATAAGTATAATTCGGTAGGTCACATTCGAGGAGAAGAGGACGGGATTGTGGTTTCGAACATATCTGTCGTCATCAGTGAAAGATATATTTTAATATCTAAAACAACCTACCGGATTTCGGATAGGTGCACACCAACACATCATCATGCCTCGTCTCCCAGCTCTGTAGTTCTTTCAAATGGTCTGGTCGTGTTGCCATTACTTCAGGAAAATAATGACCGTTATCAACCCATACACGTATTTTCATATCATCACAGTCTTTAAATTCTTGTATCGACATTCTGTTGATAATATTGAAAGCATAGTTTTACCTCGTAGTATTAAAAGCTTTGCTGATTACAGAATAATGACAATATATAATCTTACAGACGATGGGCAATGGTATGACAACATATGCAAAACGAAAGAGATCTAAAGGTCAACGTACGACCTTAAACAATATACAAGTGTTTTACCATATATCAAGTTCTGAGACAAACCCTCGTTGATTTTTTTCAAATTATAAGCAACAGTAGTATATCGATGTTCAATCTCATATAAACAAAGAAAACCACACTGCTCATATAAACAAAGAAAACCACTGTTCATATAAACAAAGAAAACCACTGCTCATATAAACAAAGAAAACCACTGCTCATATAAACAAAGAAAACCACTGCTCATATAAATAAAGAAAACCACTGATGTGATCCCTGACCTGAGACAGGCACATTAACATATGGCGTGGTAAAATAGTTTTTGTGCACTCAACCTGCTCTGCGGTTCAGAGTCCTACATATAAATATATATATAACGTCCCCTGCACTTAGAATACGGGTAAATTATATGCCTAGTCTTGAACAGTGAATAAAAATAAAAGTGTATACAGAATTCCAAAACAGAAAACATAATAAACATTCCAGTCGTATTTTTCAACTGTAAATAAAGATATTCCTTCGAGTGGAATCATACTAGCACAATAAATCTCTGATTGCATTTGGTAAAATGTTTCAATAATTTATAACATTCAGCAATGCTGTAAGATGAAATCTGAGACGTCATCACGAAAATGTGCATATTGAAACAGCTGAAAAATATGGAATGCACGAAAAAGGAACATCGCCTCAAGGAAAATTAATAAAACAATGAGAAAGTGTTTCCGCGTGTATTAAATTTTGCTTTGAAGATTACCATGGTTAATGTCTAAAGCGACAACACCAAATATGAGACGTACGGTTAAAAAAAAAACATTTCCAATACATGAGGTTCGGAATTTGTGAAAGTATTCAGAAGTTCCATCAATTTTAGTTGGGTTTTGAAAAAGTTATAATTGTGTTGAGATAAAAAAAAATCACTGGTATGTAATATTTGAAATACGCTGATAACACATATTTTAAGATATCATGTTTTTGAAAATCATAAAAGTTCCGAAATATCTTTTCAATGGTACTTCTGAGGGAAAAGTACATTATAATTTGCAGCGGTCATACATATATGAAGATCCATTCAAGGATATTTCAGTGCAAATATATTTTCTCTTAAAAAAGTACATTACAAATGATGTAGTAACAATATCAGGAGAATACGCAGAAATATAAAAAATCATGTTAAAAATTGTATGCGTCCTAAGCCGTTATCAGAATTGCTCAAAGCCGAATATTTGACAGCCAAGGAAGTATAAGAACCGAAACAGGCGAAGAGCTATATATGACCAAAAAAAGACCCCAAAATGATAGCCAAATCCATCTAAGGTCAACTTAGCCTGATGGAGTTTAAACTTTAGTTTCTTTATAATTTCAAATATTTTACAAATCTTGCCTATATATGTATTAGATACACCTTGAGGGTGTTAGTCCGATTGGGTGTATCTAATTTACACCAAGATATTATTGCCAATGTAGAATGATAGTTTTCAATAATTTAGGAGGGAGGTCTTTAGGCGACTTGACCATATGTTATTGAAAAGAATGATAAATGCAAGGGTATCCAATTTCATTTAACGACATCTTGGTGTAAGTAAAGTTACAGTCTTTGTTCTTATAATTAATAATAATACAAATAAAAATAATAATAATAATAATAATAATAATAATAATAATAATAATAATAATAATAATGAATTAATAATAATAATATCATCATTAAATCAAACTTTATTTATTATATATAATGGTTGGGCGTACAAATATAATCGGTAGGAATAGATATCATTTTCATATTTTCAATTGATGTTCAAGGAGATACTAAAGTGGAGATGATAAGAATTTTTATCTGTTCTGTAAGTCAATAAAGTAAAGAAATGTTCTAATCTGTTTTCTGGTATTTGATTTGCTTGATCATTACCAAGGGCTGTACTTTTAAAACTATAAGGTCTTGGATTTCCAAATATTTTGGCCTCGAGCCTCACTGAAGAGACATTAATTGTCGAAAAGCGCATCTGGTGCAGTAAAAATGGGTACCGTTTATGTTATTACTATACTTATGTTCATGGTTTTTTTCAATGTTAATGAAAGAGGAGAAAAATAATATAAAATTACAGTATTTTGAAATATAAGACTTGTAATATTTATAAAGCAGGTCTTGCTGGAATATATATTGGACAAAAGAAAGTGTTAATTGAATAAGATAAACAAAAATAATTGTCAAAATTCGAAATCAACCATAATTTTACACCCCGAAACAGAAAGCAGGGTTCCCTGCATACATTTCTCATGAATATGTTAGGATCTGCATTAATTTATCTATTTTTAGTTTTTTTTCATCAATATTTGAAATATAAACAAAATTAAGTATCCAGAATAATTTTGAGACAAAATAGATTCCCAATAAATTATTAAAACCTGTTCTAAAATTGATTATTTCAATTATGTATCTTGAACTATTTTCCTCATTTTGGAAAATGGAGTATTATAAGTTATTTTGCATATCTATTTAGAAAATAAACATTAATTTTACATAGACATAAATTGATTAAAGAATACAAATATATTTATATAGCTCAGTTAAATGTATTTTATACTCATTTAAGTATATTTACCTATCTTCCAGTTTATAAGAAATGAATTGTCTTCTTTCTATCCAAAACTCTTCAAATTAATTAGAAGTCACCAAATGAAATAAAATTATAAAAATGCATATTTATATATATACTTATCTCACGTGGTTTGATTAAATGCGCACAGTTTGTTGGTACCTTGACAATTTGCTTGATTGCAATGTACTGAGTCACCCCAAAATAGTATACACACTATAAATTATTTTCAGACCTAGTGACCGTTTCTTAGTTCAGAATATAAAAATGTTTAACTGAACTGATCCGGGTTATCATTCTACCTAGTATATTTGGCTATGTCAATCAGTTCGTATTGCAGTATGGAGGAAGTCATTTACGCCTCAATTTGTGTTTTTAGGAAATCGTTTGGTGCTTTTACAGTATTTGTTATGTTAATGAGTAGTGCTAAGTAAGATGTATTATTTTAAGGAAAACAATAGAATTAACAAAAGCATATTTTTATAACTAAACAACAAAACAAATAATATCAGGTTCATGGAATCAGCATAGTAAAAACTTTCCCCTTTATGCGGAAGTTACAAGCTTGCCTAGAACCTACCTGGAACATATGCGATCGAAAGGGGCGTTTGAGCGTACCTGGCGATGGTTAATATAATGAAAAGCGCTTCGTACTTATAATTAGCAAAGTGTGTGATGCTCCTCTTAATTGTTAGAGGTCATATTCCTGTCAAAGTTCTAAAGTAAATTTTGGGAAACCATTTTGAATATCTTTTGTCTTAAGTTAAGACCCAGTGGCGTAGCTTGATTCTTATTTCTTGTTAGGCAAATAAAGTCGATGCATCGGTGCGGGCCAATAACCTGATTTTTATTTGGAGGGTATGGTTCAATTTAAGGACGAAGCCCGCGTTTTAGCATTTATAGATAAAAAAGGCAATTATTCAATGTTTGCGTAATGTCTAGTGGTTAATATTCCGTACATATTCTGGTCTAGAACAAATAAACAACAAATCTAGTTGAAGGTTCAGAATTATATGTTCACATTATGACTAGATGCTGAATATGTGTATTTATAATTAAGTCCCGCATAGCCAAGCAAACGCCACTCTTTGGCATGGGTTTACTGCTACGCCACTCTTTGGCATGGGTTTACTGCTACGCCACTCTTTGGCATGGGTTTACTGCTACGCCACTCTTTGGCATGGGTTTACTGCTACGCCACTCTTTGGCATGGGTTTACTGCTTCAACGTTGCCATACTGTGGATTCATCATTATTCGTTGGATACCAATTTTCGTGGATATCGTGGGTACAGGTGAACCACGAATTTAAATGTACAACGAATTACAAATTTTCCATCAGGTTCTATGCAGACTTTGGCAAAACCACGAAATTAAAGTTTTTCTCAATCCACGAAAATTGGTACCCACGAAAATAAAAGAATCCACAGTATTTTTTACCCTAAAATACCCTTGGCGTCATTTTTATACTGGGTAGATATATATTAACTTATTATTGTATCATGAAAAATTTTAATTTTGCAATTGTTTTAGAATAATTCATTTATCAAGAGAACTTTTCAGACTTTAACAAAGAGCATAAATCTCAACTATTCAATTGGATTGCATCTTAAAGATTTGTGTGTCATGTTGTTATCTATCGATCTTTTGTTTTTGTCTTTTTGACTTGTCATACACTTCCAGTAAGACCTCTGTGAAAAATCTAGATTTGAGGTTTTTTCTGGAAAATAATGTTACTTTCAATGCGCATAATGTTGCAAATGAATGTATTTATTCATGCAGCCTAGAAAAATGACGCTAACTTTTCTTCGACATATCTTTTTAGACAAAATAATGCAATTTAAAAATAAAATATGTGGTTTTATTATAATGAAAACATTTGTAGTTTTATGGAAGCTTTGCATTTTTCTTTATAAAATCACAATATGCGATAGCTGTTTACTGAAGTTAAGTAATAAGGAAAAAAAGAGTCCAATGATACAAATAAAAAAGGGAAGACGAAAACCAGGAGGCAATCGAAAATCATCAGTCGAAGAAAAATAGACAATGTCATGTAAATAAGAAAAACTCCGAGAACACACAAACAATTATCTATCAAACAGTGCAAGAAAAAAATTGAGCAACATGAACCATGCAAAAAAATAGGACCCAAGCAGGTGCATCGGTACCGTAGGCAGTACCTGCTCCACTAATGGCACCTATCATGTTGCTCAAGATAATTACATCCTGGCAATCAGTAAAATTCGGTAATGCCATAACTTGGAAAAGAAGACGGGGTTTTAGCTACAACAATTAAAACATCCTTGGCTATATGCAAGAAAAATATTCCATAACAGTTAATGAAATTATGATGGCGTCAGTAAAAAAGTGATGACTACAACTTTACCATTAAGAATCAATGGTTCAGCAGCTCCATTGGAAGCAGAAAAAGAGCTGTTGAATATATTATCAACTGGGAGATATATATAAATAAGATGTGGTATGAGTGCCAATAAGACAACTATCCATCCAAGTCACAATGTGTAGAAAGTAAACAATTATAGGTCAAAGTACGGCCTTCAACACGGAGCCTTGGCTCACACCGAACAGCAAGCTTTAAAGGGACCCAAAATGACTAGTGTAAAACAATTCAAACAGGAAAACCAACGGTCTAATCTATATAAAAAACACTTATGAACCACACCAACAAATAATCCATATTCAGATGCAAACAAAAATATTTTTGAAATCTTGCCATTATATAATGATATTTAGTTTGTTGTAAAGTTTAGTTCTCAAACATTTTGAGATTAGAAGCAGACCTAACTATATTTATTTTCAAGTTCAAAGGGATAGATGCGATCAACATGGTCACCAAACTTATGTTAGTCAGTCAGAGAACCGTTTATATAATAATTATGGTGAAAGTGAGGTTAAAAGATGATGCAGCTAGCCTCAGTTCCATTTTATAGAAATATTTGTATGAAGCCTGCATCATACTACACGTCGACAAAACGTAACAAATTTGTTGTCAATGAAAAACTGGCATCTTTATGAAGTCAGATTTTAAAAACTTCTTGTTTGGGTAGTTTTGGCTGCTAGATCTCAATTGTTGTCACATTAACATTCTATGACCGTTTGTGATGTTCAACCAAATGTGTCAACATAACGGAACTATAAACATGCAAATCATACACTTGGGAGGTTTAGCTAGCTATAAAACCAGGTTTAACCCACCATTTTCCATGAAAAATGCATGTACCAGGTCAGGAATATGAAAGTTGTTTTCCATTCGTTCTGTTGGTTGATAAAGTCCAACGTTCGATTTTGTTAATTTTTTATGGACTTCGCCTTTTTCAATTTACCTTGGAGTTCAGTATTTTCGTTAAACTTTTTAATTTGTTAGGTATATGTCCGATGCTAAAATAGGACATTTGTATCACTTTGATTCTTTTATTAAAAAAGATTGAACTAATTCTTCCAATCTGTGGTAAGTTTTGAAGGAGAAATACTTGTGTAAACTAGATAAGTGAAATGTTTAGAACCATCCTATACTACGAAATACAAATTGTACATTTTATCTTTCTTTTTATTTTCATGGTATAAAAATTAGTGAGGCAGTTGCCTCATTGCCTAAAGGGAAGCTACGCATCTGCCAACACAGCCGCCACATTGACGCTGAAAAGTTGGACTAATGAGACCATCTGCATACGGTGTTAGCAAGATAGGGTAAATTATTTGTTAGCATTATCTTTGAGAAGCCGTATTCATTTTAATTGGCGTAGAGATCACGCCCCCCCCCCCCCCAAACCACAAAAAAAAAAAAAAAAAATATAATAATAAAATTCGAATGTGACTTAAAAACAATCACAAATATTTCTATCTGATTTTTTGTGTTTGTGTTTGTTTTGTTTTGTCTTTGTTTCGTTTTGGGTTTTTTTCGGGGGGGGGGGGGGGGGGGGGCATATTTTGGCAATAAATTGTTAAGTGTAGTGTATGAAAAGGTAATGAAACAGTCACCACATCACTTGAGGAATCATAATACATGTATAGGTGCGTGATTTTCTCACTGCATTGAAGATCCATTGGTGGCCTTCGGTTGTTTTCTCCTAAATTGCTCGGGTTGTTGTCTCTTTGACGCATTCCCCGTTTCCATTCTCTATTCTATACAGAGGAAGTTTAATGAATGTACTAACCAACCCCAACTGTTAACAGGGGTACAGAAATATTTTCATCCTCGGATTTCTCCCATTCGGCCGTTGAACCTATGATTCAGAAGGGCGCCCCTTTTGCTAAGTTGGATGTATAAATACGCAGCATTGTCCTGTCGAAATTCGGACGTAAATTCCGATGCCTTGTGTTAGGAGAGTGCCACAACCTTTGCATGCTAAAAACCCGTTGTAATCCTCAGTTGGTATGTTTTTAAAAATTCTGCCCTATGCAACATACCCTATATTATCCAGTGGCATTCGAAATTCCTGCACCTTGCCAATCCTACCTATTTGATGGATTGTCCAGAATATATATTAAATATTTGGCACTGGACATTGAGCAAACAGCAATCATTAAATTAATCTGGTATACTAAATTTATTTTTTTATACCATTTATTCCCAAATATTTCATTTCGCCGTGTTAGCTATTTTGACTATCGTCATTTTTTTTAGTTATTCCAAATGCTACATTAAACGTTTTTGTGACCTTACTTAAAATGATATGAACGTATTATCAAAGTTAAAAATAGATTTTGAACATACTCGAGATATTTCGTTCAAAATAAGAATATATCACAACTGCACTACAAAACCTGGATTCAATGAAGTGTGTGTGTACTGAATGAGATTGTTATACTGGAATTTAACCTCGTATTCTTGATTATTTTTATGAATGGTGATAAAGGCTACCAATTCACATGGGATCCTGCGATATACTTGCTAGTGGTATTATTCAGAAACTTTTTAACGTAAATGTTGACTGATAAATGTTCTGATATTGGTCATGGGGGATGAGTTTGTGGGATCCATCCCGATCGGGGATCTTTATTTTTTTTTTTTTTTTTTTTTTGTGAAGTTGATTCTTACTGCTTTTCTTACAAGT